GCCCGCAGAGGACAGAAGAGGCTGTCGGATCCCCTGGAACTGGAGTTACAGACAGTTGTTAGCTGCCATGTGGGTGCTGGGATTTGAACCCGGGTCTTCTGCAAGAACAACCAGTGTTCTTAATCACTGAGCCATTTCTCCAGCCCTGCAAATCTTTTTTCTTAAATATATGAGCATATGCATGTAGGCAGGTGTTGCATAATGCCCATGAAGGTCAGAAGAGGATGCTGGATCCCTTGGAACTCGAGTTACAAACGGTTGTTAACCACCATGTGGGTGCTTGCAATCAAACCTGGGTCCTCTGTAAGAGCAGCCAGTGCTCTAACCGCTGAGCTATTGCTCCAGTCCTGTAACAGTAATTTCTATACTCTGGAAATTAATGAATACACAAACTAATGAACTTGGCTAGTCATTTCATCAGGTTCTTTTTATCTTGTGGCCTTACCAGTGTTATCTCAGACTGAAACTTCTAAGAGTACTAGAGTTCGGCCTGTTTGTATTTTCTACGACCATCCTAGCATCCACTATAACTTAGTAAACACTGACAGCTCATGGCAAAAGGACCAGGCCTTGATTCCTAGTTTGTCCTCCTTTTGGGATATTATTAGTCCAAAGGCCAGTTTTCAAGCTGGGCATGGTAGTACATACCTGTACTTGCAACACTTGGGAGGCTGAGGTAGGAGGATGGTTTTAAGTTCAGAGGAATCCTGGACTACATAGTGAACTCCAGTCCAGCCGGAGTGACATTAACAAACAACAAAAAGCGCACACAATTTTTAAAGCCAAGTTCAAGGGCAAACATTTGTTTAAACCAGGGGTTGACAAACTATTGCCTCTGGGCCAATCTGGGCCCTACTGGATTGTGTTACAACCCTGACACCCTCTCCTCTAACCCTAACCCTAACCCTGTGGCTGCTTCTGCTCTACACTGCCTGAGGCCTTGTGACAGCTAGCTGGCCTGCACACTCGGGACTGCTACTCCCTATTTCGGGTCAGGAAATGAAGCAGTTTGTCGAGTTCTCACCTTTAAAGTGGCCTGAGCACCTGGACTACCATCTTGACTACATAGCACCAGGAGGGATTCCAGGCCAAAGACCGCATCTTGCTCCAATGCCAAAAGGTCTGGAAGAAAAGCATTAAGTGTGGGGATGATCAGTAGACGATTTTCTCGCCCCCCACCCATGACAGAAACAACACGTCTAAGATACAGGAAACACCAGGCAATGCTAACCTTCCTGGAAAAGCACAAGTGGCATTGTTTCTGAAAAGTAAAGGCTATCTTCAGATTTCTTCATCTCCAAAACATAATTGCAGATTATTAAAATATTCATATTAAACAGTTAAAGCCACCGAGCTATAAAGCAAAACCAAAACAGCACTACGAGCTCAGCCAAGGAAAATACTAAGAACAGAAAACTATGCAGTGTGTGTTGATCTTCTGTATTAGACACAGATTATGCAGGTCCATTTTCACTCAGGTAGAACAGTTTTCAGCTCCTAATGAAAATGACTACTTTTACAAAACTCTGATGAGCTCATCTCACATTAATGTTTGAAGGCTGACCCTAAGAAATGGGCTCTTGGGGCTGGAGAGATGGCTCAGTAGTTAAGAGCACTGGTTACTCTTGCACAGGACTCGGGTTTGATTCCCAGCACCCACATGGTGACTAATAACTGCCCGTAACTCCAGCTCCAGGGGATCTGATGCCCTCTTCTGACCTCTGTGGCCACTGCAAGACATGGGTGCTCTTATACACATGCAGGCAATATACTCATACACATAAAATAAAAAATAAATAAATAACCAGGCGTGGTGGCAGACACCTTTAATTCCAGCACTTGGAAGGCAGAGGAGGGTGGACTTCTGTGAGTTCAAGACCAGCCTGGTCCCTATAGTGAGTTCTAGGTCAGCTAGGGCTATAGGGAGACCCTGCCTCAAAAAGACAAAAAAATAAGTAAATAAAATAAAAAAGAAATAATTAATTTTTAAAAAGGCTCATTTTCTCTGGAGGGCCTCGAATGCTACAGATGTCCTAGTTAACTATACTTATGCGTCAGCTTTATGAACAGCAGCTGCTGGGTGGGCGTGGTAGCACATGCCTTTAGTCCCAGCACTGAGAGACAGAGGCAGAGACAGATCTCTGTGAGTTCAATGCCAGCCTGGGCTACCCAGTGAGTTCCGGGCCAAGAAAAAGAAGAACATATAGCAGTTTTCTATACCACATGGAAATCAGTTTGTTCATTCAAATCAACATCAACACCCACTTTAAGAACGCTCCCGTTACTGCAGGACCTTGGCAGTCAGTGTAAAGACTAATGAAGGAAAAGGAGCCAAACAATCTCGGTTCAGGAAGAACAGTTCTGAGGGCTGGTGGTGAGGACTACTGAGCTTGTGACCTTGATCAAAGTCAAAATAACCACTGAAGAAGATGGATCCTCCAAAACCCACTTTCGCTCCTGAAAGCAGGCGTGCAAACTTTAAGTCTCAGGTTAAAAGCACTAGGAAGATACTAATTCGTGCATTGTTTTCTTTGAATGTCCTCGTTTATGCAAATCAGTTCAATGTTACATATACCTAGAGGTGAGTTCTAGGAAAACTTAATTCATATTGTTGTTGGTTTAACTGCTCGAGGTAAAACTACTTGTTATTTAAGTACCCTACTAACCTAAGTGGTTTTCTAGATGCTGTTTAAGTGGGACATATCATCTTTTTTTTTTGTCTTTTTGAGACAGGGTCTCCCTGTAGCCTCTGCTGACCTGGAACTCACTATGTAGACCAAGCTGGCCACAGCTCACAGAGATCCACCTGCCTCTGCCTCCCAAGTGCTAGGATTAAAGGCGTGTGCCACCAGGCCTGGCTGGACATATCATCTTATGCCATGGGGTGCAGTCCTAAGCTGCTCCTGTCCCCAGCACCACATACTCCAAGGTGAGCCTAAGTAGGAACAGGCGATACTCCATTAGACTGTTCAGTCACAATCCAAGGGCTCCACAAGGACTGAGCCTGCTAGAACACTTCAGACGGAAGCAAGTAAGGACTGAGCAATCAACCCACAGGTATCTGTCTGGCCCAATCTACTCCATGTGTCAACCCTGACCAAACTTACCTTTTTCTTGACAAGACACAGTCATGTTGGTTAGCACTCTCACTCCATGGGCTGCGACGCCCCTGTTACTGTGGTAACAGCATTCTTGGGCTAACTTGACTAGATCAGAGGATCGGGGGGAAGAACCTACATTTCCTAAACAAGCAGAGAAGAGCAACAGATCACATTCGTTCATATGGATCAAGAAAGCACTTTGGCTGAGAGGTTCAATTTTTTCCAATTTTATGAGAAACTCTCTAATAAGTTAACAAAATTTTCTACCTCAACTCCATGAATAATACAACATTTCTCCTTCCCTCATCAAGATAAAGAAGGCGCATGCCATCTATTTTGTAATGACTACAATTTAAAAATCAATATAGGGCTTTCCCATACAAACATTAATAAAAATTGAGAAGTGGTACAGAAGCCAAAACAGGCTGTACCCCAGGGGTTCAAACACAAGCCACTACGGTCTTTGTGTCAGAGAAAAGCACAACTTCGAGCAAGGTAAGAGAAGAGCACTTTGCTTGCTTTGCCCAATCCCAATCACAGAAATTATACCTCAAAAGGATTACAAAAGAATTAATGACTAGGCAGCTATCAAAAATACTGGGATTCTATGACTCAACACCCCATTTTACAAAAGAAACCAGTTAAAAGACTTTCAGCAGCCTACTACTAAGGCCTTAAAACTAGTAAATTACACACAACTCTTATGGTCCCTTTTAAAATTCACATTTCAAAGTCTGTAACACAAGTCAAATGCTATGAGTATTTTAAGCTCTCAGTTCTGTGTGAGCTCTACGAACAGTCAGGGGTCTCTTAGCATCTCTCATTCCTCTCCTTTCCATGGTTCCAGCCTTGTCTATCATACCAAGGGGACCTTACTTTTTGAGCATGAAGTAGACAATAATTACACCAGGTCTAAATCAAGGTAATCCTAGGCAGTGATTCCTGATATAATATAAAAATATGAGATTAGTAAAATCCTTGTTTTGTTTTTTGAGACAGGGTCTTCCTGTAGCCCCAGCTAGCCTGGAACTATTTAGGCCAGGCTGGTCTCAAAGTCAGAGATCCATCTGCCTCTGCCTCCTGACAGCTACCATACCCAGCTTGATGGGCCTTTTAATCTTTTAATGATGCTATTGATGGACGTTATCTTGCTATTAAACACACACACACACACACACACACACACACACACACACACACCACTATCAGTAATCATGTGTGTAGATGATTTTTCAATGTGTATATATATAAAAAGTGGATTAAAAGTGGGATTTCTGGCTCATCTATTTAATGTGGTGAACATTTCCAAAGTGCCTAGACCCCAACAGTAGAGAACTGTGGCTGCTCCACACCCTTGTCAACAGGCAGCATCAAACCTGGAAATCTTTGCTAATCTGATGGGTTAAAATGTTGTGTTTTTTTGTTTGTTTTTGAGACAGGGTCTCCCTGTAGCCTCAGCTGTCCTGGAATTCACTATGCAGACCAGGCTGGCCTTGAACTCACAAGAGATCCACTAGCCTCTGCCTCCCAAGTGGAATGCTGGGACTAAGGGCATGTGCCACCAAGCCAGGCTCATGTTTTTTTGGTTTTTTAAAAAAATATATTTGATTTATATGAGTGTATTGCCTGCATGTGTATAAGTGCACCCAAGTCGTGCAATACCCAAAAAGTCAGAAGAGTGCATTGGATCCCCTGGAACTGGAGTTACAGACGGCTGTTAGCTGACATGTGAGTGCTGGGAACTGAACCTGTGTTCTCTGCAAAAGTAGCCAGTGCTCTTAATCGCTGACTCATCTCTCAGCCCCCGGCTCATGTTTTAACATGACTTTGATTTGCATTTTTCTTAGATATGGATGATACCGAACATCTTTTATGCCTTAGAGGCATTTGTTAATGAGAACCTAGATATAAATCTGTTTTACATATTTCTGCTTGTCCTAAAATATCTAATCAATAAAAATACAGAAAGACATATGGACAGAATCTAACTTTGGAAATTCCTAACTTTTTTTTTTTTTTGTCTTTTTGAGACAGGGTCTCCCTGTAGCCATAGCTGGTCTGGAACTTGCTATGTAGACCAGGCTGGTCTGGAACTCACAGAGGTCCACCTGCCTCTGCCTCCCAAGTGCTGGGACTAAGGCGTGTACCACCATGCCCAGCAGAAATTCTTAACTTTTATTTCTTATGAATATTACTTAATTTGGCTACTTAAACATTTTGTTTAATTCCATATACAAACTACATTTTAACCAACGTCAATAAAAGAGCAAATATAACCTTATACAAGTGCTTATGAACATCTTTGGAACCAAAAAATAAAAAGCCATCATGCACCCAGGTCACTTGGTCATTAACAGTGAAAGTCCCAGGTCAGTCCCTTGGGTCATACCTAGGTCCAGGCACTTCACACACAAATATACACGACTCTGGGTACATCTCTGAATCTCTGTAAACCTGTTTCAATACTTAATAAACACCCTTGCATGTGCTTTACTTGAAAGGGTACTTGAGAAGGCCCTTACAAATAACAAGATATTATCAAGACTTTGTCTTCCATAGCTCTTACAAAGACTGCTATTAGCCAACAGCATTGACTGTAAGCCAAGACCGGGAGCTGCTGATTTATATACAGATTTTATCTGAAGCACACTGAATCTGTGATGCACTATGCAGACAGACAGAGCTGTGAAAACCCTCCCACCCCCAGAGGCCTCTTCACCAGGCCCAGTTTTTCTAATTCTCTGATCAAGAGCCATTTATTTTTCTGCCTAGTTGGGCTCACCCATATGGCTTGCTTTCACCAGTAAGACAGTAAATGAAACACGACTGCTTTTGTCTGACTATATTTAGCTCCCCACATAGAGAAGGTCCTTCAGGTACCTCAGCTGAAAGACTTTCATCTTCCAGACTGTGAATGGAGCTGTCTTTGAGCAACCAGTTCTGGCAGGCTCTAGAGGACTGAAGTCATAAGAGTGACTTCAAGTCAGACCAGCAGAACTGCCGAGCTGAGCCCAATCAAAACTGCTGAATGACAAGAGCAAATTAAACAGTTATAGTTTTAATCCAGAAAATTTTGCAGTGATTTATTATGCAGCATAACTGATAGAGCACCTCACAGAATACGGAGATATAAATACTCAGGTTAGATACGGAGAGAGCAAAGACCCGAGGATCACAGCCCCAAGCCTACATACAAACAGCCCAATGAAGACACTACAGCCCTGCTATTGACTCCAGGTCAGCTACACAGGTATCACAAGTACTAAATGTGGCAAACGTCCACTGCTATAGTGACTTTTGAAGACTGAGCATAACTACTCTGTCCCCAGGATGGATTCTCCCACATTCCCACGTAATCCTGGCTCCCAATGTAGCCTGTCATGGAAATCATTAGACCACGCTACATATGGACTCTTGCTGCGGGGAGATGTATAATGCCAAAGGAGCAACAGAAACACCCGGATTTTCAGATTCCTATCAAGACATATGGCAGGGAAATCCCTTCACCCAATAAACTCATGCAATGTGCTCACTAAAGGAACAAATAAACAGAAGTTATAGTTTTCAATTAACTGAGTTCAAATTAACTGACTAGAAATGTAGCAAAAGAGATTCAAGAAAACCTTCGTAAGAACAAACACTTCAGCCTTAAGTCTACTGTAAGTAAGCAAGCTCCTCACCGGGTATTAATGGGCATTTCTGATCAAGGACACAGGTTTTAGTACCATAGGCTTAGTGAAGAAGCCACCTTTGGGGCTAGAGAGATGGCTCAGCAGTTAAGAGCACTGGCTGCTTGTCCTAGTTTGTCACTTCATTGCTGTGACAAAACACTCTGACCACTACCAACTTGGGGAGGAAAGGGTTTATTTATCTTACATCTACCGGGTCACAGTTCATCAAGGAACCCAAGGTGGGAATTCAAGGCAGGAACCTGGAGGCAGGAGCTGGAGCACAGGCCATGAAGGAACACTGCTTACTGGATTGCTCCCTGGCCCCTGCTCAGTCTGCTTTCTTCTGTAACACAGGCCCACCTGCCCAGGGGTGGCACCACCCACAGTGGGCTGGGCCCTCCCACATCACTCATCAAGAAGATGCCCCTCAGACATGGCCACAGGCCGGTCTAATAGAGGAAATTCCCCAAATGAGGCTCCCTCAACCCAGGTGTGTCAAGTTGACACTAAAGCTATCCAGCACACTGCTCTTGCAGAGGACCCGGGTTCGAATCCCAGCAACCATAGGGTGGCTACCAACCATGCAGTTCCAGGGGATCCAACACCCTCTTCTGACCTCCGTGGGCATTGCACAACATAGTACACCTACCTACATGTAGGCAATACACTCATACACATAGACAAAAATAAATAAAGAAAAAATTTTTAAAAGATAAAGGTCATTTTCAGGGGCTGGAGAGATGGCTCAGTGGTTAAAAGCACTGGCTGTTCTTGCAGGGGCTGTTCTTGCAGGGGACCTGCATTTTTTAAATAGCATCCACATAGCAGCCAACAGAGGTCCATACTCCAGATTCAGGGGATCTGATACCCTCTTCTGGCCTCAAGGGGCACTGTACGAATGGGTGTACCCACCTACATGCATGCAAAACACTCATACACATAAATAAAAATTTTTAAATTTTTTTTAAAAAAAAAGACTTCTTCAGATAAATCACAGACATGCCCTGTGTTAGGAAAGTGAATCCTGCCCTGGTTTCAAGCCTTACAGAGATGACCTGAGGCACAAACAAGGATAGGACCATTTAGGACTCCGCACACCACCCCAGCCTTACCTGGAGCAACACTGAAGTAGTGTTTGATGGCGATGGTCCCGGAAAGCGTAGAAAGGACAGACACCATCCCTAATTTTAAGCTGTCATAGGGAGTCTGGAGGGCACACTCACAGAGATCCTGAAATGAAGACAAGAGATGAACAGAGGTGAGCACATCAACATGTGTCTACTTCTACACTGTAAAATTTCATTTTAATTGCTAATCTGTTTAGATAAATATAAGGCTTTTTTTTTGCATTTTTTAAAAAGCAGGTCAAACCACCAAATTTTGCAGAGGTATCTATGAAGACAGGATACTCAAATGTCATCCTGGGACACACAGAGGACACTGGTGGAAGAAATCCAGACAAAGAGTGAACTAGGAGTAACTGATCAGCATTATTAAGTAACTGACCAGCATTACTCATTCACCTGTCTCTTTCTTTTTACTGTATCTTTAGCAGTGATGAGGCTAAAACTCAGGATATAGCATATGTCAGACAAGTGCTACGGAGCCCCACTCTCCCACCCCATTGGCCCATTTATGACATATGTGCCCTACTAATGCAAAAGTCAGTGACGGGGAAGTGGCTGTATTATTTTCTCAATAATTCAGTAGACGTAAAACTGTTCTAAATATCCTACCATGCTCCCTCCATTCACCTAAAAGCTATGAATATAGGGTACATGTGGCACTCTGCCCAGTTCCAGGTGGGCAGGGCTCCCGTATCCCACTATTCTGGTCTTGTCCACTGACAGCAGCAGATGAGTGGAACTGCTGGTTCCCCTTCACTGTAGTGAATAACAGGAACGCACTCACAATGAGGGACTCGTGCATCATCCTTGTAATGTGAATCTGCACCACAGGACCACTGTCGTCTTCAATTAAACCGATTCCAAAGTTTTAGAAAATTAAAGTTCAAACTTTTGAGATGGCTCAGCAGTTAAGAGCTGCTGCTCTTGTAGGCTACCCGGGTTTGATGACGGTGGCTAGCAACCATCCTTAAGTCCAGTTCCAGGGGAATTCGATGCTTTCTTCTGACCTCTGCTGCCACTCCATGACACCAGTACACTTACACAGGCAATACACTCATACATATAAAATAAATAAAACATTAAAAAAAACAAATGATTAAATGGTTTAGTGCTGGGACTAAAGGCATGCGCCACCATGCCCGGCTTCATCTGCACTTAGGGAACAGGTGCGTGCCCACAGGTTGCCGACAGGGTAGGATGTTGCAAGCCTCATTGGTGGGTACTGGCATTAACTCTCATTGGACCCACCAAGCCCTCTTTTAGAAACTTGTGTTTACAAGGTAATTTTGATAAACTATTCAATGTGGCAATGTCAACAGTTAACAGTGAAAGTTCTGGAACTCTGTCAGTAGGGACGGGAAGGCGCCCCAGAGACGGCATGATAATTATACTCAGTGATGAAATCTGATTCAAGATTCCACTTCAAGGACATTTCTTATCCACAAGTCTTATCAGGAACATCATCACTATCAACAAAGGGTCGAACAAAGGAGCAAATCTGAACGGACTGTCCTCTCGCACTCACTCCCCTGCCTTCTTTCTCATTACTGAGGCTCAATGTCTCCCTCTACGTCGGTTTCACTCACTGTCCAACCAAAGGCAGGCCCCACGAACGACTGCTTTCTGGGTCAATCTCTAAATACAGGGTTCTTCTCTATCATGAAAAGGACCAGTCACCAGCGATGTGTTATAATCAAGGTCAATGAGATGGCTCAGTGCATAAGGGTGCTTTCCAGCAGGCCTGACCACCCAAGTTCAATGGCAGAAAGACAGAAATGACTCCTGAAAGCTGTCCCTGACTTCACATTGATGCCATGGCACAAGCTGTGCTCCTCAACAAACCAATAAATAAAAAAATGGAAAATTAAGAAAGGCTACAGTCCTAATAATCCCATTTACAAGATTCCTGGTAAAATTATAGGACAGGAATCAGATCTGGGAGACTGAACACAGAAGGATCTGGAGAGCTTTTTGGGGTGAGGAAAGTGCTCTGTATCTCAATTTGTATGGCGATGGTACAACCGAATTCACTTAAAAAAATCTCATCAAACTATGTACCTAGAAAGCTTCCTGTGAATAAATCACACCACAATAAGTCTTTTAAAAAGTGCATGACAAATTAATGGCATTGAAAACATTATAAGACATAATTTATGGAATATGGCCAATCCGTGATAAAAGGAAAATTAATCACTTTAAGTGCTTTCATTATTAAACAAGAAGAATAAAAATAAAATAAATAAAACATTTCAAAGCCAAGTTTCTGGCAGCTCAATCAATGAAAGAGAGGCGGCGAGGGTGGAATGCAGCCGCAGCTGAGCTCTGCACTATCAAGATACAGAGAAACGAATGAACAAAACCAGAAAGAAGGAAGGGAAGGGGTTGCACACAGATGTAGTGTTAAGAATAAAAGTAAGCTTAAATATCAAACTCAAAGATACTTTAAATTAAAGCATTCTTTATGACTGTGAGAAATGAAACTAATGGAAAAATAATTATCAAAACTAATTCAAGAAGGCTGGCTGTGGGCACCCTTGCCTTTAATCCCAGCACTCAGGAGGCAGAGGGAAATGGATCTCTGTGAGTGTGAGGCTAGCTTAGTTAGGGCTAGAGTGAGACCCTGTCTGTTTCAAAACAAAATGCCAAAACCCCAAACAATGACAACAAAAAAGATTCAAGAGATAGAAAATTGTCACAGCAGCAAAACTGGACTTATCAGAAATGCTCTCAAAACACGATTCCCAGGAAAGTCCCAGTTTCAGATGGATTTACGGCACTTACTAAGCCACGCCTTCAAGAAACAAAAATCCATGATCATTTTCAGTCATTAGAGAGCATAGAAACAGAAAACTCCGAATTCCTTCCCTCCTTCCCTCCCTCCCTCCCTCCCTCCCTCCTTCCTTCCTTCCTTCCTTCCTTCCTTTCCCTCCCTCCCTCCCTCCTTCCCTCCCTCCTTCCTTCCTTCCTTCCTTCCTTCCTTCCTTCCTTCCTTCC